GGGCCAAAAATGGGCACACCACCATTTTGAAGGACACACATTTCCCCTCTCATATATTGGCCAGAACATAGTCATACCTGCGAGAGAGACTGGGAAATGCAGTCTTCTTTATTCCAGGGATGCATATGCCCAGCCAAAACCCAAGGTTCCATCACTAAGCAAAAAGGGAAGAATGAATACTGGGGAAAAACTGCTGCTCTCTGCAGATATCTCATTTAGGTATTTATAAAATTAGAAATTCAAACCTGAAAATACTTCAACTGAGAATATGCCAGGATCGACTAGCTGACAAAATACTTAGTATTCTGTATTTTCTTTTACAAAGAATTAGTTCCTTCATTCACCCACCAAAAGCAATGAAATACAAAACGCTACCTGAATGAGTTTCCATGGTGTATTTTATTGGTATAAAACCAAAACGAGGTGACATAATTCCCTGGTCTGCCAATTAGCTATACAGAACTAGGTGGAAGAAAAAAAAAAAAGTTTTTTTTTCTTTCTATTTCTTTACTGAAGAAAAATAGGAAAATTTTTTACTTACAAAGTAATAAAATACTGATTAGTCTTGGCAATTTATCTAAGTGACTTTAGAGTACCAAAACAAAAATAGTTTTTTAATTTTTATCAAGTTAAAAGTCAGTAATAATTTTATTATGGCTTCTGAAAAAATTGGTGAAGCAGAAAAAGATTTCTCAAACCATCTGTATATTTTTCTCCTTTATTAAGGGATAAAAAGTCTTCATGATTCTGCTAAAAGCTCATCTACCAATGCAAAGAGGTAGTCGTGGAATGTCTTAATCTCCAGTCTACTGATGAGTCTCCTTTTGCCCTTCCTATACAGGAAAGCTGGTTAAGGCCACATCACACAGCAGCTACAGAGGCTGGCGCAATAGAACCACAGTCGGTGTGTTTCTGTCTGATGCAAAAGCGCTCAACTCTTGTTCTCCGTTATGTTACATACAAAGTTGTCTTTCATCTAATATATTAAAAACCACCCCAATGTGATCTTTAGAGCAACAGTCAAAGCTAAAAAACAGATATGTTTAAAGTCATTTTTGTTTGAAATACATATATTATCCCAAATTTCCATTTTCTGGAAAAGGCAGAGCCCAAAATTTATGGCAGCCACTTTAGAGGTGGCTTTACTTAGATGACCCAAGGTGAATAAGCGTCATTATTGTTGTATAGCTATGAAACAGATCATCATCCTTTACCTCATTACATTTCCTCAATATAAAGTTCCCAGTGACTATCCGGTCACATCCAATTTCCCCATTTCCAAAGAAGCCAAATAAGGGAACACTAGGAAAAAACTTTCTAAATGCATCAGCCTCCACATTCCCCTTAGCTCCGTAATACTGAAAGCCCCTGCCCACACATGCAAACATGAAGCCAAAGGTATTCTCTTCCGGAATGCCGGCAGCTTTCAGGCGCTGCATCGCGGCCTCAGCAGTCTTCTCGTCCTTGACATCCTCATTGAGGAGCACCGTGGCACTCTGGATTCGGTGTCCACTGAACGACAGTCCAACCACACCAGTGGCATCAATATCCAGAGGGTTCCTGAAAATTAAATTATATAAGTGGCAATATATCATGAAACAAAATTAAATTTTTAATGTGTTTAAAAAAAAAAGAAAAATCCTCATTCAGTGATTGGCGGCTGCTGCCTTTAGCAGCCTACCGTTAGCCTACGGTTTACCCTTCCAGATAAGGGTAAAAATTAATCTACTGAAATTAATGCATTAAAGAATACAGAAGGCACATCTAGGGAGAAGTAAGCAACTGATTTTTAGGTCAGAAGTACAAAGGGGCAAATGTGTCTCCACAAACATTTCTGAAACCATCTCTGGGCTATCAGAAGGGTGTAGAGTTTCCTTGCCTTTCTTACTTCCTTAAAAGTAAATACCTTACTAGTTTATGCAATGCAACTATTAAATAAAGCTTTTTGTGTATTTACCTTTCATTACGCTTTTCTTCCTACCTGAGTTGTCAAATTCTGAAAGAAGTATATTAAAAATATGATCATGGAGGGTAAGTTTATCAAGAACCTATGTTCCAGAAGTTTAGCTTTATGTTATTTGGTCCATGAAGAAGATATATCACTTTTGTCCTGTTTATTGCTTTGAGCCTAGAACTTGGCTTAGTCTAATGGTAAAAGCTCGTGCTTTCTTTCTGTTTGTATTTGCCTGGTGTGTTTTATAATGAAATATTTATCCTTACAAAAGAAAATACAAATACAATGTCAATAAAAGTTACAACGCTTAATATAGTGAATACCTACTGGGGGAAAAACAAGCAAGTCCTTACATTTTTATCATCGATACCAACATCTGAGTCCATGATACAGGGCAGTGAGAAACTAAGACTCAAAAAAGGTTAAGTGACTAAAATAGTAAGACTAGCTAGTGGCAAAACTAGTTTTGGAGGGGCAGAATCCATCTTCTGATGTCCTCTGCTTGCCCTTTTAACTTTTTTACACTTCCTCTTTGCTATACAACTGCAACGCACGTGTTGTCAATCTCTTGCCTTCAACAATTATTTACCTATCTTTCCAGAGGGAAAAGGGGTATCTGTCATTGTAAGGTGCCGTCGAGTCGGTTCTGACTCACAGTGAACCTATGTACAACAAAACAAAACATTGCCTGGTCCTGCGCCATTCTCACAATGGTTGCTATGTTTGAGCTCACTGTTGCAGCAACTGTGTCAAT